CCCCCCCCCCCCCCCCCCCAAGGGACGAAAAAACAAATTGCCAAGAAAACAAATTGGGTCCCCAGACCTGCTGTGCCAGGTGTTAGTCACCGCCCCTCCGGCTGAGGCACCCATTATCTTCGGATCCACACCCGCGCTCGCAAAGCCGCGGATGCAGACCAAGGGCTCGAGGCCCAGTTCATGTGCCTGCCACAGGAACACGCTGACAGAATCGGGAGTTTCGAGCTTGAGTAGCTTCGAAGCGACTCCGACTTCCCGACCTTGGACGAAGACATTAGCAAGCACAACGCCGCCCCGTCGTTGAGGCCAGATGCATTGCCTGCTCACCGGGCTTCAGTTTAGTGCAGAGACCAATGAATCAGTGCCTCTTGCGGTTTGCCCTTTCAAAGGTGCCCCAGCCTGCTGTGACCGAGCCGTCCTTGCCCGATGTGCACTTGGACAATCCATCTGCACCACACCCGAGCCTGCCTTCTTGAAGGCAGGCTTCAGCTTTGCGAGCTGCTCTGCAGTGGAGTCTGCCTTGATGTATTCGTCCTGGTCCAAGACCTGACCTCAAGTCATGTCAGAACCGGCAGTCGCAACCGTAGCCCTGACTTTAACTCCTCCGGCCTTTCTTGGAAGTTGGAATGGGCACAATCTGGTCCTTGAACTTTCCCGCCTGCTGCAGGAAGCTGGGCCCCTCTTGCCAGACCAAGCCGGGAATGACCGCAAATCGCCCTGTGCTACTTCTGCCTACTGGGTCAGGGCCCATACTTACCTGGCTCCACTGGCTTGGGTCGCTTGCTGGCCCGGTGGAGGCATTTCTCGCGACCCAAAGACGACCAGAGAAGCACAGGCTCCAGTACAAGAAAATTCGCAGAAGCTGCATGTCTGTTTGGGTAAAGGGCTGAAGCCCCAAGTGCATCCAAACACTGTGCATGCTGAGTCCTACAAGACCCATGGAGCCGAGACTGCAAGCAACTGGGACAAAACCCGAGGGATTCTGACCTTCAGTCAGGAACAGAAAATCTCAAAGCTGCCTGATCCTCTGCCTCATGTGTCCCCTTCTGAAGCACTCGATCGACTCTCCGGTCTGGCCTGCTGAGCCTCTGCTGCCTTCTTCTGAGATGCTGCCGCAAAAGCATCCTGCGTTGATCCTGAAGCAGCAAATCCCTCTGAGAGCATCTGGCATGTCTCCGGCCAAGCAATGCCAGCAATGCATTTACAAAAGTGCATTGCGAACGGATGCTGCCGCAGACTGGGACTCGCAAAAAAACAGTGCACCGCTATTCTGCGGGAAGTGGCGGTCAATGCCAAATTTGGCTGCCACGTTCTCGGCGGTGATGCCCATGTGGTACTGGTTAAACGCACACCTTTGTTTGGCCATTTATCTGCTTCCTCTCTTGCCACGTATTGAAGAGATCCAAAGCTGCATGTCCCTCTCTCGTCGTGGCAATCGGCGATGTCGCTGCAGGTTCGACTTCTGTCACACAGCAGCTTTTTATAGATCTGCCATGCATTCTCAGGCGCCACAACCCGTCGACGATCATGGAATCAATCATCTTCCTTGCTTGTGAAAACTGCCAGTGATTTTTTGCGTCTCCGCAGAAGCCTCGTGCAGGCAAAGCAGCCAATCACCCATTCTTTGTCCGTCCCTGCTTTTGTTCAGCACGTGCGGACTGGATGACATGCTCTCCTGGCTGCAGAGAAGCTGAAGACATCCTAGTCGCCGTCCCACACAGCACTCATCAGTCTCCTGGCCACCAGCAATCACGATTTGAGCATCACCTTGGGGCAAGAACCGTACACAGCTTCGTCACACACACACACACGAGAGCATCAGCTGAAAGTATCAAGCCAGTGCACCTGATGCAATCGCCTGCATCCCGAGGTGCAGAGCCTTCAGCCCGCTCCCACAAACCTGCGACACGAAATGGAGCACACTACACAAAAGCTTCGCATTTCCGCCTTGTTGATTGTCAAGGCCGGACAAGTCTCCGGCAGTCCAGCGCTTATGACTGCCTGGATGAGTGGACACAGGCTCTGGCTCTGGTCGGAAGCTCCGTATTTGGAAGACATGCCCGCAACAAAGTAGACTTTCGGGAAGGGGTGAATAACTCAACGAATCGGCTCTGGCATGCTCGGTCGGACGAGATCATTTGCTTCGTGATCTGTGGCCACAGCCTGGCCTGCCGTGCTGGATTTTGGCCACAGCCGGCGGTGAGCACCTGTCCGATGATGACCTGAAGCTCTCAAAGCCACTGCACAGTTGATTCGGGCACCGGGTCCAAACACAACGGCTCGACTGCCGAATTGCTCAATGCAGTAGGAACTTCGAACATTAATTTGAGCACCTCGTCAACCATATCATTCCTCACTTTGCCGGCTGTGTCCTCAGTTCTTTGACAGCATCTGCACTAACAAACTTGCTACAATCACAAGCACGGTCGCGGCGAGCGCGTTGCTCTTGCACTCGCTTCAACCAGCTCTGGCTGAACATCACTGAAACCGGCGCTGCCAAGGTTCACCAAGCAAGGTTCCGATAACCTTGGCACCCAACACATGCGCGGGCGCCGCGGCCAGAGAGCCGCCAAATTTGCCCACAGGCGTGCGCCTGAGATCCACAGAAACGTACTGCCTGTTGGCTGCGGAACCGCACTCTCCAACATCAACAAAGGGCATGTTTTTCCAAAGTGAACAATGACAACCTCTGTCGAAACAATTCATGGCACGACTTCTAAGACCATGAGCCAGAGGAACAACTGCTACATCGAGCTACTACATGTTGCTTCCATGGGCAGTCCAGCCACCTTGCGGACACCACAACCACTTCAATCGCCTTCTGCGCCATGGCCGTGGCTGCACAGTATTGAGCCAGGCTGAGACCAAGGACCAACATTCAAAACAAGGATGTAGCCGCAACTCTATGGCGATTTGGCATTGGCGAGACTTGGCATCTTGCCATGACCGAGCCAAGATGCGTTCCCCTCCCCATCGCACACGTTGGCGATCCTTCAGCGGGCGATTTTGCTGGTAAAAGCAGTTCTCTGAACGTGCAGCAATGGCAAAGCACGAATCTCTGAAGTAGGCCCCGCTCACTTCTGAGGGCACGGGGCTGGTGCCGGGTGGTTGCCTGGGCCGGCAGGTTTCAGCGCTTTGTTCTTCATGGATGGCGGCTGCAGAATCCAGCAGGCCTGGCTGGTGACATGCCGACAGCAAAGGCCGCCTCCCGCATAGTAGTGCTGACCTCAGCTTGCTCCCCGCATCATTCGGATTCGACCCTACATCCTGGGCCCGGACCATTTTGCCCAAGCGCCGGCCCGGCAATCTCGTGAAGCTCGGTGACCTCCGCTGTCGCACTTAGGGTTCGCAGTCCTACAGCAACGGGTAGGCTCGTCGCTGTACAAGCTGCTAGCTGCTAGGAGACCAGGTGACCTTGCAACCCTTGGCAAGGTCTGTTCATGGATTAGGCCCACGCACATGCTACAATCTACAAGATCTGGTGATCATCACATGCGAATGCAAGCGTGCACATGCACACCTGCCGGCAGCACTTCCCCGCAAAGCCTGCCGTGCTGCAAGCTCGTTCCCAGAACTGCACGCGATAACAGTCATGCTTCTGAACTCAAGAAGATCATGCATTCACTGGCCCGTGAATATACAGATACATGAATGCATGCATCCGTCCATCCATCCATCCATCCATCCATCCCGTCCATTATTTATCCATCCGTCCATCCCTCCATCCACCCATCCATCCATCCATGCATCCATCCAGGCATGCATGCATGCACAGAGACGCAGACAAACAGACAGACAGCCAGCCAGGCAGGCAGGCAGGCAAACAAACAGACTTAAAACTTACATGCTGACATAGGTACATGCGCATACATACAGATGAAAGCAAACATATGTATATGTATATTATATATATATATATATTTATTTATCTATTTATAATATATACATAAATGCGTTCAAAAAGCTCTATGAGCTGTCTGTCTGGTATCACATCATGCGAGTCGACAGTCAGTCTGCAGGAGAACTTGCGGCAAAATAGACGACACGCGGCTCTGGGTTGCAAGCCGGAAACATGGGAATGCTTGAATAAGATAAGTATGCATATGTGAGTTAAGCTTATTTGCCGTTCACCGTTTCTTGCAGAACGGGTTTGGAAAGGTTGTGATGCAAGACTGCCAATATGTCAACATTGGGAATGACCTCGAACTCGCGACGCAGCGTGGCTGTCAACACGTCCTCGCATTCGGGAATCGCCGCGTGCACCCATCTTGGGTCTGTGGGCAAGTTCCGAGTTCAAACCCTTTAAAAATCACAGTCCTCGGCAACGGATCGCGCCCCCTTGAGGCTCTTGGAATCCTCGAAGCCCTCCGTGCAGGATGAGAAAAAACCTACGGCTTCAGCACAACAGTTCGGCGTGTCTCAATGTTATTCGTAGTTGAATTAGCCAGAAACTCAAGTGGGCATTGGTAGCAACTGTGCAGAAAGTGTTGAAGCACCTAGTTCCGACACGAAGCTACAACTTTGTTGCAAGTATTGTCTGAGCAGCAACTTGCCGCGAGATTGACCAGACTCGGTGCCAGGCCGTGAGATTGCTTCTTCCTGTGATTGTGGTGTGCCCACTGGCAGTCGATCCTCCAAAGCAAGCTGAAGCACCGCACGACGAACGCATGCCGCGTATGTCAACAACCGACTCACCATGCACATGCCTGCTGAGAAACTGCGCACATCGGCAGGCATCGAGGGCTGACCAGCGGCATACACGCAAGTTTTTGTCTGTGAGCTACTTATGATACCCGGCAATGCTTCAAGAAACCTAGCCTATTCAAGGATGTGAGAGCATGGTTTATTGGAAGCGTCTGCTTGCACCGCTCTCAACTCTCTTAATGTTCGGCGTCGGCCTCAAAACTCGTCACATAGTACCAAAACCAAACACTCCTAAGCTGACCCTCTTATGCGACACTCGTGCAAGGATCTGAGCAAAGATTGCAGCGAAGTTGCATCATCTTGGCTTTCACCTACGCTGCTTTTTTCGGTCGTCCCNNCCCCCCCCCCCCCCACAAAAAAAACACCACTCATTTAACTTTTTCTTTCTTCAGCGAAACTCTGGCACCAATGCCCTCAGGGCATTGGACACTCGAAGAAGATCGTTTAGGTTGAACTCGCTAAATTGACAAAGCACGTGCCTACTCCGCAAGACTCTACCAGCAACAGTTGAGTTGGGCTCCTTGTGCTTTTCTTGGACCTATAGTTGTATGATGTCACATTCCCAGCAGCTGTACAACTTTTTGCATTCAAGTATCTTGACGTCGAGCACTCAACTCAAGCTAAGTTTTCAAACATGCCACACAAGGAACAGCGTCCGTCGCCGTCGGGCACTTTTGGTTCTGTGCCTTGGCATCGTACCCGGCGACGACTGGGCAAAATTTCTTCAAAGGGGTCTATCTCTATTTGCACCACAGGAGCATCTAAGCAAAAGTGAAGAAAAGCTGAGGCGCTCAGGTGGTGCTCAGCCAGCCTCTGGAGCCAAGTCGCTTTGCAAGATGGGTGCATGTCCACCGGCCTTCGGACTTTGAGTTCCTTCACGGCCACGCTTCTGCAGCCGCATCCTCGGGCGATGCGTCAGGTTGGAAATATACAAGCAGCAGGTACGCAACGCATCGCGCGGCCAGTGGCCTCAGCCGACTTCGAGGCTCCAAGGCCTCTCCACGACTGAACACTTGGAATTTGCAAGGTAGCAAATCTGGAGACCGACAGCCCACTTGCCAGCAAACGGTAGCCTCTAACTCAAGATCTCGGTCTCCCTTCCCGGGCTGTCACGTCACTTTCGACCGTGGCACGACAAGAGGTGTAAACGCATTGGGGGCGCTTGAGTGAGACAGAGGGCCGAAGAAAGCAGCAAGTGTAAGATCTCCCAACTGAGGATCACTCTTTTTGTCTTTGGCTGCGGTTCCAACGGAACGCTGCAAAGCTTGCTGCAAAGCTTATCTAGGCTCATTGACGACGCGAGACTTGAAGCGCGCCGAACGCTTTTGAGGGATGGTGCCCCCCGACTCAGTGAACCCTCGTGAACGTCGTGGGATTGGCTCAACGAAAGCCCAACGCCTCGAAAACTAGGTGCAAACACAAAGCGCCCCCGAAGTCTGGTACGAAGACCACACGAGACTGTGAACGGGTCAGGGCGGTGTGACAAAAAAGCGCCTCTGCGGCCAAGCGCTGCAGCCGCAGGTGCCGTCGCCTCGTACCGATCTGCCGGTCTGGCAAAGCTTTTTGCCACTTCTGCCAAGTTGCCAGTCGCGCACGAGGCCACCCGGATTGGAACGTCGATCACGACAAACCAGCCTCAGGCTGAGCTCTTGCTTTCAGTGCTTAGGGCTGACGATCTCAAACCCGGACTCCGCCAAATGAAGCTCTTCCGGGATGTGGCCATCTTCACTTTTTAACTACCGTACCGTTTTTCCAGCTTTGCAGAGCCCAAAGCTCTTTTGAAGCTTGTGTTTCGCATCATCCTAGTATTTTGCTTAAGGGTGCATGCACCTCCAGCTCCACCTGCGCGGCACGCCACTTGCGGCAGCGTGCCGGAAGCGAAAGTGCCGGAAGATGCCGGTAGTTCGAGTACCTCACTATATCGGAGCTGGTTCTGCGGCGCAGAGGATCCTGTCAGATGCTCCCATCACCTGCACAGCCACCGACGTCGAAGACCACCCGTTTGTGTTGGGCGGACTTGATTGGGGCATGTCCATTGCCCGAAGAGACGGAAAATTCCTTGACCATGTCACCTGCTACTATTGCCTAATTGGGCCGCCGAGCTCTTGGCGGTAGACCTGTCCCCAGAAGCCGTCGCCCGACAAACGCGGAAAGGTCTCAAAACCCCAATTAGCTGGTTGCCATCCATGTCGGCTCCAAGACGTGCATGCAAGGATTAGCTGCACCTGGTCACGAGAAGCGCTGTCCATCGGCTGCGAATTCTGGTGATCCCGAAAATGCCGAAGTCGGTGCGATGGTGACTGTCTTGCAAAAGTGCGGACAAGCCGGGTCCCGATATCGAGAACTATCGTTGGTGGCGGTTGCTCCAGCAACAAGTTCCCGTAAACTTGGGGCAGCTATCGATAGAGCCACTGCCTTCCGAGAGTCCACAGGCAGGTAGAGCTGTAGACATTCTTCCAACTTCCAAGGGCTAAGGACGGATCGTTTGGAGCATCACATTGAGTCCAAGCCGTCAAGGTGAAGTCGCCATTCCATACTACATAGGGGCTCTCTGGCATCAAGGCTGCATCTACGGGACCCTGGAAGGAATTTAGTCGTCACCTTCAAATCAGGGTTCGATTCCATATCAGTAGAGAGCTGACTGGAGCGGTCGCCGGCGCAGGCCAGGATTCACGATGACTGAACCAAATCAAAACACTCAAAAGTGGGGACCAAACCAATACCAAGAACTCATATAAAAAAACGCAGTCTCTCTGTCACGGACTCTGTCACCTGTTCAAATCTGCTACATGTCTCCCCTATCACATATTCAGGGCTTTGGGTTTTGAGTACACTCACACTTGGACAAGTCCTGGCAAGTTGGAAACGACAGATGCCGACAGTCTGACAAACTGAAAGCTGAAGCTGTCTTCGTGATTGCTGCTGTGCGAATACTGAGATGACATGCCGCCACCACCGAGTTACCAAACCGAGTGGCTCGAGCTCGCGCTGCTTCTCCAGCATGTACGCGCGTACGTTCGACGCGTAATGCTTGGGGTTCGCCTCAGGAATTTTCCATGCCAGCGCCTACCCGGCCTACCCTTCGGCACGGAGTGAAAAAGGAGCTGTCAAGTAGGTCGAGACTCGCTACCTGCATAGCTATGTTCGGACAGGTACAGGTGCACTCAAACTGCAAAACGGGTGTGGCGAGGCAGGGGTGCTGCAGGGGCAAGCGTTTGTTCTGGCTTCCTGTCCTGCTGAGCACTTGGTTGCAAAGCGTTCGCAGGAGTGGTCTCCTACGCCAACATCTAGGACCTGTCTAGGTTGAACGCCGCAAACTTCGAGAGCTTGAGCGAGAGTGACAGGCCCCGGACCTGTTTCCGGCCTGTCCTAGAATGAGTAGGCTCCTGCATGCGTTCAAGAAGAAATCAAACATCAACTCGTTAAGCAGGTTGCTAACTTGGATCCCCAGGACACACCCTGTAAAGATATCCTGCAATCAGAACAGGCATTAGGTATCATGCAGGACAAGGAGGTATGGCTTGTCTTCAGCTTGCGTTCCAAGAATCCTTCTCTTCAGCAGATGGATAATATGGCCTCGGCATCTCCAAAGCAAGGTCGCGTAGAGATTCGGCAGACAACAAGATTCAGAGCAGTTTTGGCATGACTCGCATGACCACGCTTTCCTCCTATCGCCGGCCTTCAGCAAAAAGCAATGTGCACACCAGCGAGAGTGACCAGTGGAGGGGTGGGCTGCATTCAATGCCCGGGCACTCGCAGATGAAGATGGTACAGCTGTGCAACAGGTGCGCCCAGAAGTTCATTGCCTCGATTGCAGTCAGCAAAGTCCGAGTGTCCGATGCACTCACGAATCGGCAAGCTACTGGCAGTCAACATACTTCAGAAAAGCCACACTGGAGCGGGAGGCTTCAAAAGACAGTATTATGCGGACTTCAGGCTGGAAGCTGATGAAACCAAGTGGCCCATTCGCCGTCAGAGTACAAGGAACGTTGGCCCTCAGGTTCAATTCCCCACCAGCCCGAGCAGCCACGCTTTGGCTCAGGGATGCAACGAAAAGCCGATGAGCTCTGGACATCGTCCGTCATCAGGTAATCCTCCGCTTTGCACAGCCACGGTGTGCAGTTTGAAAGCTTTTCGTACCAAGTAGGCGGTGCATCCAGGCCGATAATGTCGCCCAGCAGCCGTGCAGGCAGGATTCCAGGCACCAGTGTGCCTTGTTTGGAATCCAGAATAAACCCAACACGACCCCGAGCCCAAACTAAGTTGCATGCACAGTTCTGCCTAAGACAGACCATGCTTCCAAGCCGAATTGCTTCAAGAGCACAGGCCGCCTCGGCAGACGGAAGGGCCAGGCCGGCAATCAATTAGCTGCCGTGTGCAGCACAGCAACCCCGGTTTTCCCTGCAAGCACGTACCAAACGAAACAGCCAAGGCGCACGGGAGCCCCCGAAACGAAGGCACCTGAAAGTTGATTGCAAAAGAATAGAAGCAGATCGCAGGATTGGCTCTGAGAAGCTCGTAGGACACTGGTTGAACTGCAACCCTCCCAGGCGTCCAAGGCGGCGTCCTTGTTTGAATTCCAGGAGCGATGTGCCATTCGAAGTGGTTCCCTGACAGGACCATACGGCAGGAAATCTCTCTAACACAGTGAATGTCGCTCTTGACCGCTGGAAAGATCAACAGAGGTCGATCTCCATCTTTCCAGCCGGCGACCTCAGAGTAGCATTGCGCAGCTTGCAAAAATCAACTGCATGCTGTGTGGGCTGGCCCTAAAGGCCCGGCATGCTCATGGATGGCTCCCAAGGCAGCACCTCGTGCGTCCTTCGATCCGCGATCCACCTGGTCCAGACAATTCCCTGCATTTCTACGGTTCATACGATGACAAAGACCATGGCCGCGACCCAGATGTATTCCAGGTCATCTCCCAGCGTGCCGAACAAAGGTGCATTTCGAACACCGGCCTCTGCCGTTCAACGGAAAGCCCTGCAATGCTGCCGGAATGGGCATGAAAAATCCGCCAGGCTCGCCTTCGACATGAACTTCGGCATCTGCAAGGCAAGGGGCAGCACCATAACCTCTCAAAAGGCATGTGCAGCTGCTGTGCATGGGCCACATCTGCAAGTGACAGCATCAAGCCGCGCTTCTAGTGCAACTAGTTGGGAATTGACCGGATCCAAATCTACTGTTGGTATCGGGGGATGGGAAAAGCAGCTTGACATTGCACCATCTGCTCGCTCTTGTGCGAGGCACATCGAGGTAGCTAACGTGATTGGCGACGATGATCGGAGTGGACCTGGCCGGCTGCCACACATGGCTGCACGTCCGCAATCTCCAGCGCAGCTGGCCTTAGCATCGCTTGCTGGTCTGCCTCGTTTGCCGGGAGCGGTCCGAAGTTGTTGTTGCCATAGTCGCAAAACACCTTAGCTGGGCCAACTTCCCCAAGGACGCATCAGACAGGAACCAAGAGAATGCGCCAAACCCTTGATGGAGCGATTCCAAGCGGCACTCGGAAAGATGCCGTTCGCGTAGATGAAGCCTGTAGATACTGTAGCAAAATTCTCCTCTCCGTCTCCTGAAATGCGGGGCAGCGGCCAAAGCATCCAGCCTCCACAATACAAAAACATTACATGGAGAATCTCAACAATCTCAGCTTGGGTCATTTTTTCACAAGACACGGGCCCAGGGATGTCAAGGCGCCTTGAAGCTCGGGGAATCCGCCAACCGCCAGCCCCCAAGGCTCCACAGCCTGGGTGCTATTTTAAAAAATGAATCCAGCAAGAACGCAAAAACCCTGCTGAGGCCCGTACTTTGCCACCGAATAGCCTGCGGAGAAGGGAACAAGCCCGACGAGGGCGGCCTGAGAGAAGACTGCCGAAAGCTCGAGCAGCCACAGCCAGGACGTCAGGCAAGAGTTCGACACATTACAGAGCCGAGGCTCGACTATGTGGACGGCAGCCCCGGGCAGGAACCTTGGCGCTCCCGTTTATGCACAAAGGCCAAGGAACGGGAATTCACGTTCGTTACTACATTGCGTACAATATTGACAACCCGGAAAGCCCACTACATTGTAATGGGCTTTCCGTGCTGTTTCTTCTTGCTTGCGACGACTGCCGGGAAATTGCATTCCCACCGGCCCTGCCGTGTAACAAGGTGAGCACCACGAATCCAGCGCAGAGGGGCACACAACCGGCAGGGCTCGCAGAACGAGCGCACGCTCTCATGAGAAGCTCCAAGCGGTCACAAAGACTTGCACTTGACACAAGGAGGGAGGCTTCTGCAGGCAGTGGCTAGGAACGGGACGGAAGTTGGCATGCACAAAGTTGAGGGCAGCAACGGTCACGTGAAGGACCCGGTCAAGGAGGAGCCGTGATGGGCCTCGACACGCACACTAACATCCTTGTCGAAACCGCTGCGGCGAGGGACCGGCAAGGGAAACAGAGCGGAAGAGGGGAGAACGTTCTCCCAGCGGAGGTGGGCGGTTGCAGGGAGGAACCTAGCAAAGGAAGTTCTCGCGGCCAATCGCAGCCTTGGCAAGGCAGCAGTCCAGGACCAAAAGTCGGCAGTGTCGGCGAATCCTGGCACAGGAGGGGCAGGAGCACTTCGGGTCGAAGCCCCGGATCCAGCACAAGCGGAGGCATCAAGCCCATGAAATCGCAACTGCGGTTTGGCCAAGGAGAGGGCCTCACCTGATAAAGGGGCGAGCATCTCTCCGTCAGGGCTTGCAGGACTGTACGCGTCCCCTTGATTTGCAGAAACACCATGGGCACCAAGCACGGGCGGAAAGGAGGGAGGAGGCGAGGATGGCAGTGAAATAAGTTGGGCGCCCATCAGGGCTGGAGTGCCTTCTTTGCGCCGGCCCAAGCCCCAAGCCCGCGCATGTTGCTGCTTTTTGGTCAAAGGCGGCACTGGGGAACCACCGTCTTCTAGGGCCTGCGAAGACACAGCTGGGGCAGGCTTCGTCTCTGGGCATCTTTGGGCCAGTCAGTTCCAGCCTCTTTGTCGAGAGCGCCATAAACGCCATGGTGCCGGCAATGAGCTTTGCGTCGACGAGCAGGGCAAAGGGCCTCAGGCATAGCCTGGTGATTCGCATGGAGTCGGCTGCAAGCAGAGCCTCCAAACCTCTTCAAATACCTGGTCATGAGGCCCTCCTGAAGAAGGGAGGCCGGCCGTAGCTGGCGACGTGCGTTTTGAGCAAGCTCTGCCTGCATCTTTTGGTGGTTGTTGGTGCCACAGGTCGACTGACACCCAAGCTCTGCGACGGGGTCGGCATTCTGGGCCAGCTGAGTCACAAAGCTGAGCCAAGCCCCGGCTTTGAAGAAGCATCGCCTCTGCGACAAGGCTGGTGCCTATGCTCACGCGCTGGAACCGCTAAGGCTGAGCCTGAAGCAACGCCAAAAGCAGAGCCGAAGGCTAATCCAATTCCGCCAGAACCGGAGGACTTTTTTTCACAAGGGACTCGACTGCTGCCCTTACTGCCCAGCTTGACCCACAAGACAGTACTCATGACTGTGATGCGAGACTGGCCACCGGAGGACTTTGATTCCAATAATCCTGCCTTCACAAGGGCCGAAAACATGATATTCTTCGATATGTTTGACTCGGACGAAGAGGCGTATGATGGTGCTGATTCCGATCCCGACGAAACGCATCCGCAACAATACGCGGTGTACAGGCATGACGACTAGATTTCCCCAGGAACTATTTTGCCTAAGTGTTCTCTGGCAAGAATAAAGAAACACATTCTGAGCGCCTAGGACTTGATCATGTACAGCAAGATCTCTCCAAGACCGACTTCGTTCACGAAGTGACGAAAAACGGAGGGTGTGCGTTCTGAACTTCTGTCTTTGCAACCTTTTGACATTGTGCTACTTACCTAATGTAGTAGAGGCCAATGTCACTTCGCATAACACTTGATGAAGATTCGTGCTGACACATACATGTGAGTGGAAATGCCATGCTTACCGTAACAGAAAATTAGCGTCTGTTTGTGTGTTAAGATCCTAGACACCCAAAGGCGGTCATGACTTACAGTCATGTCATGTACCTTCAGCAACGGCATAACAATGGCATGTATGCGCCGTAAGCGTTTCTGTCTCAAGTGGTTTCAAGACACTAGCTCTCTTTGCATGTTGCAAAACCAATTGTGTTGTCCGTGTGCAAGGGCAAACCTTTAGATTTTGAGGGGCCATACCTGCACCCAAACCCTTCTTTCGGGGAGGGGGAGGGGGAGGGGGAGCTGTGAAAGAAGTGAGAGGCCACAGATCGAGACTGAAGGCTGCATTCTTCAAATGTACTAAGTGCCAGCCGAGACACTCTGCAAAGCCCATCCGGCTCACCAGGTGTACGGTGTTCTGCTCCAGCGGCAGCTGGAAACGGGAGCGTAGGGACAACAAGAGTTTTGGAAGCCTGCACTTCCGGAAGCAGGGTTCGCAAGAAAGCCATCCGACACACGCTAAGCCGCTAAGCTAACAAAGGTTGTGCTGAATTGGCCCCGCTAAAACTGGACTTGCGATGCTACCCACGTTTGCTTTTTTGCGGTTCTTCAAGGAGTTCAGTGGGAAATAAGCGCAGGACCGGGCTGAGCGATTTCACGAAACCTTGCTCTGCCTGTCACCACAGGTCATGCGCAATCACCTACTGTGGCACTGCACTCAGCCAGCCTCTACAACAGCGTTCTTCGCTGCTTCATCGTTCTCCTCACCTCAGGGAAGCGATGCGCACCCAATGTCAATACAATCGCGGTTGCCTGTCTTGAGAGTGGATGTCGCACATATTCGCTCCCAAAGGAGGGAGCCGCGAATTTAGCAAGACAGCAATCGCGGGTTTTCAGTTCTAGGACTAGGAGTTGACTAGAACCAAGGCCGATGATTCTAGGAAGGAGAAGGCAGCTGCGGAAACGACATGATTTGGGGCTCTTCAGAGGCCTTGGCTTTGCTTGGCTGGTTGTTTGGAAGTCCAAAGCGCACTGTTTCTCCAAACGTTGCGGTGAATTCTCATGTGCTGAATCCCTTCTCTGGGCTCGAGGCTAGTTGTGACTCCGCCTTCTGCTTGGCAGACGGCATGGTCCGGGCGCCTCAGTGCACATCAGAAGGCAGCGACCACGAAAGAAGCTTCAATCAACACCTTCACTTCACTTCCCGGCCCTTTTCCAGCAGAGAAGCCGCCGCACAGAACTCCGATGACCGTGGCTTCTCAGAACCAAGGCCATGTGGGGCCGGCCTTATGCGCCCGTCTGGCTACACTAGGCTACACTATGTGATGAGGTGATCTGTCATTCGAAGGTCTGGTGTGCCTCCACTGGCGCCCACCATCACGAGCTTCTGTTCATACCTCTGCTGCCTACTATTTCTACCCGTCCGGTGTCATCAAAGTGGCAACTGAGCTACTTGATCCGAAACACCGATGCTGCACTCGTTCGGAATCCCTTCTAGTTATCACAAGACATATAATCCACAGGGTTACCGGCGATATATGTTGCTAAAGCGGCTTTCATCCAAACATTCATCAAGCAGATGGGCTGAGGGCGATCCCTACACTATGACAGACTGCACACAACTGAAGCGATGGTTGGCACACCTTTTCAGCCTCTTGCAGGCCAGATGCGCCTATGAAATCTGGAGATGCACTCTGGCAGAGCGTGTTTGGAAGCCTCTCGGAACCACTACCACGAGCGCGGCATTCCACACTTTGGAGCTGACATGTGTCTTCACTTAGTAGTTAAGCGGCCAATCCGTTCTGTGATCACTAGATTTACCACGTTCAATGGCTTGGGTTGCGTTTAACATCTCCGCATCCATTCTTTTGCCTTACTAAACACCCTGCGCGCTCCCGGGATCATCGACAATCTCAACACTGTCAGGTCTCGAGATTCCGATAATCATCGTGCTGGTTCTGGATTGAGGCAGAAGATCTGAGGACTGTTGTAGGCTTCGCACGGCTCGTAAGGAGAAAGTGTGCCGGCAAGGTTCAATCGGGCAGAAACTGGACGTAGCCGCTCCCGATGTCCGGCTGCTAACAAAGGCCCGAGATCGAACCTAATAGAGTCGCACTTTAGCCAATCTAGTCAGACTTGTCTGACAAGCTCGCACCGCATGCCCGCATCAATTCATTGACGACTTTCTTCGTCAGCAGACGTTGCAGACGCTCAAGGATCGCGGACTCCGATGTGCCATGCTCATGCGATTGGCCAACCAATCTTCTGTTCTTGCTGGTGAATGTCACCGGTCTGCTGCTCTCGAGCACCCGCACACATCCTACAGCTGCCGCGGGGCAAGCGGCATGGTGGAACACTGGCAATTTAATGCCACAACGGCTTCAGGTCAATTTTGTGAGGTCCGCAGCGCAAATTTTGATCCTCTTTTTTTCCAGCTCAGAGGCTTAGCGTTGGCCTCCGTCAGCTGGCCTGGTCCTGAACCTCAGGTTCTTTGACGTGACCACTCGTTGAGCCTTTCTTGTTGCAGGCCAGGTAAGAGGTTCTGACAAAAAGGCTGGCAAGGATCAGTTGGTTCAAAGATATTCTGTGTGCAAATGTCCAGCTTTGATGCCGTCTCGGCTTCCGCCGCAAAGCACATGAGATGTGTTTCAACGTTGCACAGCACCGGCCAGACGGCTGGACATCTGCCATGCGCATGGCAAAACTGTGACTGATGGGCCATGCCCATCCCCGAAGCTCAGCCCGGCATGCTCCCAAGGCCAAGGCGGCCAAGGGACGGAGCCCAGGAACAAACAACTAACAGTAACTGAGCACTTCACAAAACCCCGTGGATGCTGCAGCGAGAAAAAGCCTGCGTGGCGTTTGCCTATCACACGCTGTCCACACGCCGTACTCACAAGTATGTGCGCCTACACGCATGTTATACACATCTACCTGTGCCTGCTGCGTAGCATGGCACCCCATGCCTGAGCTTGGTGTCGGTCCGGGCGATTACGCTCGGTGTCAGAGCCGCTTCCAGCAAGGAGCGGGAACACAGCCAAGAGACAGTTCGCAGCTCGAGAGCTTCAGAACTGGCCCAGTGGTCGCAGGAGAAAGAGGGCTGGATGGACTGCTTCTTGCTTCAAACTTCGCAGAGCATGTTGAAAACATGCTCTGCGACATGTTTAAAAATTGTCTTGCAGCCCCTGTCCGAAGGAAGCATGATCTGATTTGTGTTTATGGCTTAGTCTGACACGAGATCACCAGGTCTCGCAGCATCGTTGGCTGCACGCGTAAGATTTGACTATAGCATCGCCGTGCGATTTGCATTGCTTGTAGTTACCGGATTTTGCAGCAGTTGCTTCACGGCGATACTGAGAAGAATCGGCCACCTCTCGACAGGTCTTGGCAATCTGGCCCTGCGACTAGCAAACTGTTTCTGCTCGGGGACCACTTGCTCTAGAGATATGCTCCTAAAACGAGACTTGCATGAGCCTTCATGAGAACAGTTCTTGCACTGCTGGCCGCCTGAGGCACTGTAAAATCAAACATCCCCGTCACAGCTACAAAGCTCTCATGCCAGTAGAGGTGATGCCTTGAGAGATCTCGAGTCATGCCCAACCTGGACAGCCGAAGACAAGCCAATCCCGCGCAAGAATGAAGCCAACAGCAAATCAGAGAGCCTGGAGGTCTGTCATAAAATTCAAGCCGCCTCAGTCTCAACTGGCTGGAGAAAGTCCGCGCAAAACAATGAATTTAAGGCCAGGCTGCAGCAGCCATCCGGCTGGCAAACCAGGCCTGTCCCAAATCCACCCTTCGAAAGCTTACACAGGACAGAGCCAAGCCCTAGACATGACGACGCCCGGTCCTCGGCACTGGAGCCTTGGCCTCGGTTCCCATTGCCAGACCTGCGGCTGCAAGTCTTAGGGCTTTGATGGGCCCTTTTTTCCTCCTTTAACCACCCGCAAAGCTGCAGTGCCCATGATTGTTGTGCAGGACTTCGGGCTGAACATCAAAATCTCGAAGACATTGCACGCATGACCGAAGCCAATGCCGTCCTATCCGCTGCAATCATTCTGCCATCTGCAGGTTTTTGATTTCCTTTGTATGTTGGGTGTGACAAGACCAGGTGAGTCATAATGGCCAGGTGTCGCTGCACTACCAATAGAATCTTCGACAAGGTCCAACATTGCAACCCAATTCTTCAGCTTCTCATCCTGTGAGTCCAGACATTGAATGGAACTAATGCTACAGTATGTCATGCTGCTGCCGAACTTGGAGACGACGCGGAACTCGCAAAAAAACAGTGTCCAAGAAGTTTCTCAGAGCAGTCTTCAAAACATGGCCGCTGCTACCTTCTTAAACAACGTCGCCTTGATCATGTGCCGGGTGCCTTGAAACAGTAACGACAACATTGCTCCGTTACAGTCCGCGTTCATATCTCCCTCCCAAAATATGCTTTTCGGAATGGGCAGTGCTCATGGTTGTATCGCTAACACTTGTTGTCTGCATCCGGCTAAGGAGGTTACGCGCACTTAGCACAACACGCTAAGGAAATAAGAAAATTGGTTGCCTGCGGCGGTCACCACGATTTCGGCCACCATCCTCTGAACGGCCTAAGTCTGCAATTTGCGATCTAGCGCTCTCCTAGCAAAAGCGCATGGCGAAATCTGCTGATGAGTCTTCCACCTGAGGTCTGTCGTGATTGGCGCGGTTGGGAGTCCTGCGACCTAGATGGAACACCAATTACATGTGATCTGTGCCGGAGCAGACGTCTCAAGAAAGGGACGCCGTTATGCCAGGAATCGGGCCTTCTGTTCGGCGGCCGGAATTTGCCAGTGTCCCCCTCGCCGGAGTTCCTGCTGCCCTTTGCAGTGACATTGCTTTGTGCTGCACAGCGGCACAGGCAGACCAAGTCATGTGGATGCGCCTGCTTTTCGACGAGCTTCTTCTCGCCACCGGCCCCGTTCTCTTTTCTTGGTTCCCTCGATTCCTTTTGCTCCCTGGGCGCCTTCTGCTCTCGCGCTGGTGGCTTTTTCTCGACAGGCTTTGGAGCCTCCGAGCCGAAGCAAACCCAGCAATCAGTGAATGAAATGATTGCGTCATCCCTCTGCCTCCACTTCTTTCTCGCCGCGGTCCCTGCGCCGCCAATCAGATTCAGCTGGCTTCTTCGCCTCCTCCTCGAAGGAGCACGGAGATCTCTCGGAGAAGAGGCAAAAAGCACGGGAATTGCATGAGGTTCCAGTGCACAGGCGGCCGCGCAAGCCAGCTCAAGAACAATGCCAGAAAGCTTCAGAAAGCAGCAGGAAGCATGCTACAAGGTTCAGAAACTGCCAGGGAAACTGCTGAAACCCACCGCCGCCCGGCCACCCCACCTGCCGCAGCTTCGGGGCTTCACCTCCACCTCCTGTCCATGCAAAAACATTGACTCGGCATGACAAAAAAACCAGAAGAACTCCATGTTTGCATGCATATGCTTCGTGGCTCCACGGAATAGGCTGCACATCTCGCCTGCTCGTCGGCGGTCGCGACGAGTCCTGTCACCATCTCGCCGTCTCCTGTGGCCGCTGTACGTTTGAGTAGAAACCGATTCTTCTTACAACTTCATGCATGTCAACTGCAACGTACCGGGAAAGAGGACAGCAAACAACAGCCAGGCCCGCTCCTCGTGGACTGCTGGGCCTCTCTCTCTTGTCCGTTCTCGTCCTGCCATGACATGGACCATCCCGGCAGATGGCGACGACCAACATGGCGCAGCGTTGTGGAACGGTTTTTGAGACCAACAAGGAGCTGCACGGAAGCTCACATTGCTTCCCATCCTGGGCAGTTTGGCAGAGCATGCTCGGGGCCCTAAGCCCTAAACTAAACTCGAACCCCAAGCCCTACACCGTGAACCCTGACCGTACACTTCAAAATCGGTCTGCCAAAACAAGTCGAAGCGCAACAACTTTGCTCGTGCAGGGAACCGGGAATAGCCTAAACCTAAACCAAAAGGTGGCCTTGCAGAAACGGCACGCAGCAAGGTTTCTGAGCTACTGCCGGTGCACTGGTGCAGTGCAGTGGTTTGCGCCCATATTGCGAACGTTGATGTGTTGGTGCATTCCCCTTTTCACGCCGATATCATGTCGTTCCACCCTATGCTTCGTTAGTCTGTAAGCTTCAAAGTCTTCGCAGGTTGTGCCGTCCTAAGTCAAGCGCCTGCCTGCTTGGATGGGCGTTCCCTTCCAGGAAGAAGCTGGAAGGCCCTTAATCGATCAAGACACCCAAAAGCCTTCATGGGTCGGTGGCCTTCTTTGCATCTTTACGGTCCTCCCCTCGGCGTCCACGGTCCCGGCGCTCTCGGCGGGGCCTGAAGAACGGCTTCGACCACATCCGTGGAAGTGTGGCAACCCACAGAAGCGATCCCTGCAACTCCCCGTCGGGGCCTGGTTGCCTCTGGCTTTGGCATGGCCTTTGGTTTCTTCTCCCTCTTGACCTGGCTTACTCGGCTTGGAACAATAAACACACAGCGTTGAAGTCGCGATCTGAAACTGCCCAGAAGTCGGCTGCCTCCTGCCACTCCTCCTCTGCTGGCTCATCTGAACCTTCATCATTTTCGCTGTCGTCTTGGTCATCTTCCTCGTTTTCCTCATCGCTCCTCGTACTGACAGCAGCAATTGAAGCACTCTCCTATCTCCCATATCCCCTCCCCTCCCCTCCGATGCCTAGCATGACAAGCAACACTGCAGGGGCGTTCAGAAGAGACAAAGATACGTCGAGAGTCTCACCCTGCGCAGGCATCTTGTCCGGCGATGATGTCTTGGCGTTGAAGCCAACAAAGCCATGATGATCTTCATCCTCATCCGAATCCACATCTGCCCAGCCTTACAGAGCCAGTTTCATGTGGTATGATTCCTTGTGCACAGTTGTAAGCTGCACATGAAAGCCCCAGCTCTCGAAAAGTGTAGTGTCCATGAGGACCCACGTCACCCTAGGCCACAAAGCCAAGCCCTGCCAGGGCTTTTGCGCGTCTTCGAGGAGCGCTCCCGTGACACTTGCCGCTCTTCCTGCGAAGGCCCGTGTGTGTCTGTGTGTGTGTGTGCGTGCGTGCGTGCGTGCGTGCGCGTGCGTGCGCGTGCGCGTGCGTGTGCGTGTGCGTGTGCGTGTGCGTGTGTGCCAAAGGATCACGAGGAGTGGCTGCCCTCTTCCTGAACCTCCTGTGACGCCGCCGAAGTGGAGCACTCCAAACTGGCCTTGGCGATGTACCAACAGCCAAGAGCACAGAGGAGCACAGGGTTTGCAATCGGCATGTTCACCCCTTGACCAACCTCCTCTTCCGTCGGTTTCAAAGGCTCGACACCGTGGCCTGCAACGAGGGCACTCAGATGCCAACAAATATGGATGTTTCATCCTCTGGCCTCCGTTTTTGGTCATGACCTCAGCTCTCAAGTGCAAAGCATCAAAAAGAGCCCGGCCCTCCAGTGCCCGATTAGAGGATGCTATGGGAAGCCACTTGCACAGGAGGTGCCAACTGCGTGTCACCAACCAAACCAATCTCTCCGCAGCCCGTGTCAGCCGAGCTGCTCTTTCAAATGGATCTGGCACGCAGCACGCAACAACCTTCAAATCTTGCTACAGCCTCGCACTGTGAGAGATGCATACAGCTGCGAGATATATCCTACTGCGCAGCTATTTCGAATCAACGACCCCAGCACAACTGCTACTAGTACGTAACAGCTGTGGGTGTGGAATAATTAAGACGAGTCGATGCGCATCCCGCCCTGTCCTTCACCTACGAACCACGGTCGCTCATGCTGCGTTGCGTGCGTGAAGTGAACCAGCCGATTGTCGGCTGCTTCTTTGGAGTTGCCGTCCTAAGGGCAGGCTGCGCAAGCTTGCCACCATTTGGGCAACTCCGCTCTGCGAACCTCACTCCTTCGCCCTTTGGGTGAAGAGTGGTGACAATGGGGAGCTCTTGTGGCTGCAGTCCAAGTATGGGGACACCACATCCAAGCTGGCAACACAAACATTATGTTTCTGCTCCAATTGTTCCGCGAGAGGAAAAGAGCCCCTGAGGCAATGCAATGTCAATTTCTGCCCTCAGCGCACCATCGGAGGCCTGCATGGAAGACATACGTCGGCATAAATGCAAAATCGGCACGACGGAACCCGACATGTCGAAGCATACCTCCAAACTCAGCTATCCGTAGCAGGCAATTTGGGCGGCCTGGTTCTGCCCAGATTCACGAAGGAGGGTGTCGAAACAAACGTAGGGCTTCCGCCCCCGCTCCTCATCCGAAAGGCATAGGCCCACAGGCAGCTTTATCAAGGCCGCACTTTTTGTGGCAACACTCTCTGGCGTGGCATGCCTGCTGAACACTGCTCATCAAGGTCACGGAAATTGCGGGGAGGCCGGAGGCCCAGGCGATACCACCATCCACCACCTAATCCCTCTCCTGGCCTACGGCTGAGTCACCCGGCTTTTTGTGTTCAAAGCCCCACCTGCCGGCTTCCTTCCCTGCACTTGACTTCATACCCTAGGCCAAGGCGGCCAAGGCCGCCGGGCGCAGCCTTAACGTTGACACTATCACTCCGTTCTGTGCAGGAGGGTCCTCAGCTCGCCAGCGCTCTGCGACTGGGCACGGGAACGGGGCTTTAAGGACTTTAGTCAGCCACGCTACTAGTAGGTGAGGAAGACATTCCGACAAATGATGCCAAAGCCCGGCCTTCGGCATTCGATCAGACAGCAGCTGAGTGCGATAGGTCGGCCTACGTCGCAGCTGGGCGGAGGACGTACCTCAACTGCAGCAAATGTGGGAGCCGTTGCCACCAGCTCACAATGGTCCCCTGCTCTGACAAGGCCGCCAGGGAACTGGTGTCCTCAACGAAGCTGAACTTGTCAACCCTTGGCCGGGAGGGTTTTAACATGCAAGCAGGCTGTGCGCATGGACTCCGCACTGCCCCCATACGCGGAGGACATGGAGACGTACACTAAAAACTGCAAAAAGCACCAACCTTCCAAACCCGTCGTGACCTTGGCAAGCCCGTAAGCGAATTTGACTATCACAACTGATCGGCAGCTTTTTTGCGTCACGCGGGGGCCCGTGACCTGACGTGCTACGACTGGCCTGGGGCTCCTTTGGCATCTTACGATCAAAGGCTAACTGGTGAGCCCTTGAGGGATATCCCTTCACTCTAGCGAGCATCGCAGCGAGCACACAGTCGTACCGCTGACCGATCGGCTTCAACTATTTCCCAGCTCTGCACGTTCACGGTCATGTACCCACAGCGTCAGCGCAAAACGCTCGCCGTGCGACTCGAGGACCTCGTGCCAGATCTCCTCAAAGGAACTGAGGGAAGCCATTTTCAATATGTTAAGCCTGAAGCAGAACGTGGCCTGAACTCGCGATCCACTGAACTGGTGCGAAACGGTCAGGCTCGCAACCCCAGGCCTTTCCCCGTGCGATGTTCTAACACTTCAGTAGTGAAGATCTTCTTCAAGGTCTCGTGCATGCAGCATTCAGCCATTACGCAGAGCTGTAAGCAGAACAGGCGGAACGTCCTCTGACAGGAAAACCACCATGCGCCCTGGAAGCGGCTCAATGGTCTGCGCCGGGCCCTGACCTGTTCAAGGTATTTCGGCGCCATTGTTCACCCTTCTCGCCGAGCCCATGGCCTTGATCGAAAGGTCCCCAGGCCCGCAGCTCTCCGCCAACCTTGGGGCTCCAGCCGTGGTTGCAGTACAGCAGCACGGTGACCTGCGGCCAGAAAACAGACAACATCTCAAGACCGCGACTTGACATGACTGCTGGTGCGATTCAGTGTTTGGGCAAGCCGCTTTGCGCGGGACATCATCCGGACAGCCTCGGCTGTTGGCTTGGGATCTGTCCAGTTTCGGGCAAAATCCAGTACTGACAGGCAGAAAGCTCTTCCACACAACAACAACATCTACATGCTTGCGGTGTCATTTGAGTTCGAAGAAGTGCCTGTCTTGCTCGGGCACCGGAGAGGTGGGGCGGCTTCTCAAAGGCGACACGGAAACAAGTAAATCATGGATCGAACACGGTTTCCGGCATGTTTCCTTGGGGGGCCCTGATTTTGGCAAACGATATTCAGAGATCTTGGCTAGCAGCACACTTTGGCCAGCAACGAAGGCTGGGCTCGAGCGGTCGTCCGACTATCCAGACAATTGAAACGTGTCAAACGCGACTAATCCTTGCATCTGGCTTTGGTCAGGACCACGGTCCAGAATCTGCCGAAAACACAATGAATAGGAGAAGGATGAGGAGGGGGAGGAGCACGACGATGATGAACCTGCAGCTAAAACAACAAAGAGATTGGAAATCACGCACGCGGACATGCAGTGCTTGAACGAAGAAGTTTAACAACAACCCGAGCAATCAGCATCGGAGTCCTAAGACAAAACCTGGCGTCATTTGCAAGAGTCTGCAAGAGCACACGCGGGTCACTGGAACCCGGACCGAATTACAAACGCTTTGTGGACCAGAGTGAGCATGGAAAATGCGTTACTGAATAATTCTTCCAACCGGAGCCGAAGCAGCGAGAGTGAGACAAGGATCTATGACTGCTTATCTTACTCCTGAGCAAGTCAAGACAAATCGCAAGAGGATAGGAAAGCAACATTTGGCGCAAAAGCAGCCAACGACAAGTCAAAGCACCTGGCACATCTAGGCAAGCAGAATAAAGCTTGGGATCTGTTTCGTCGGGCAGGCCTTACCTGCAGGAGTGGCACAGACTCGCAAGCCGCTGTCTCCTATATCTGCGACGTACTGGATAAATTGCTGCACCACTTGTGACGGCTCGCCGCAAACATCCCTGACTCTACTCGAAGAGGGCTGCAGGTGGGCACCAAGGCATCATTTTAACTTCGAGGTGTGTGGTCTTTGGCTTGCTGATGGACGACGGCGGTGCCCTGATCTTCGAGCGCCAGCTGGCATAAAAAAACGACGAGCATGCGATGGACCGGCATCAACAGTCGGCTTTCCTTTCTTGGAAGAGAGTCGTCAACAGATGCTATCGCCTCTAAGTTGACAACTGTATAGAAGCGAGTGGCCTTGCAAGAAGTAGCTGTCCAGGTGCATCTTGTAGGACGCATGTGGGGGATAGCAAGCAGCCATGACCGACTGTGGCACTGCCAGGTCCAGACCTCCACGAAAGATTATAGCCTCGCGCCTGCCCTGCCTGTCTACACCCCCTTCATCCCCTTTCCTTCCCGCTTTTGCCCTTCCCCACCTAGAAGCTCTTCTAGGACTGCTGCAAGGCCGGCAAGTTGTCGAGTGACCTGCGCCAAAGCGACTCCGAGATGTGGAACCTTCGGACAGCTCTTGCTAGGGTTGTGGCCTGCATGGTGATGGGGCACCTGGCCCGGAAAGTGCTTGCAGCATCGTCGGCACCATATGGGAGGTATTTCGCCTCCTCCATTGCAGCCGGTGGTCGAAAAGCTAGTGACTGATGAGTCCATGACGGGAACTCTTACGGCGCAGGGCACTAGAAAGATCGATCTGACCAGACAGGAAGAACTGCTTCCTTCCTTTCCTATGCCGACTTGCACTGTAGGTGCTTCATCGACTGCCATGATGCCGAGAGGGGAGTGGGTGGGAAAGGGCCCGCCGAGTGGGTTGCCACGAGCGACTGCGACGTTGCAGGATCAAAGCGAGTGCTTGGACAAACTGTCTTGAGTCCTGAAGAGGGTTGCAGACGTCGTTCACATCGTTCCTCGGCATACACGGCGAAGTTGCAAGTCCTGACTTGCCTGAAGCCACTGAAGCCTCAAACCACCCCATGAGCTAGGGTGCTGCAGAACCTGCTCGCTTCGAAGCATCTTCAGTTCAGACTGCACCTGAGCATGGCCAGGGCGCACTATGAGCCGGCGACCTGCCTCCTGAAAACGTCAGTGCACAGCAAGCAGCAGAAATCAACAACACCCGCGAAGTGAAAGGCATCATGCCTCTCACTCTACTCTGTGGCTTATGATCGTCACAAAGCTGGCATAACCCGAACCCGCAGCACCTGTGCAATCGCATCTGCTGGGAATGCACCATCGACCTAAGCGGCAGACACATCCACATACTCCTGTTTTTTGTCGTGCTTCTTTGCAGTCTTTGACAGCTTCTCCCTGCAAGCATGAAAACCAATCCAAACCGCTCTCCTCTGCTCACCCAGCCATTGCCAGGTACCGTTCACGTGGCGAGTCGGAACGAGGAGCCACTGTCATTACAAAGAATAACAGGCTAGGAAGCCAAACCGTTGCGACACAGATGTAGTCACTCCAAGCCACCACAGCTAGGCGCCGAGATTTCAGCACTTCCGCAGCGCTGCCGAGAAGCTCCGAGGCTCCCGGGTGGCGAAGAGCCTCTGCCGTCCACGAGCGAGGGAGAGAGAGAGGGAGAACGAACGGCAGAAGAACAGCGAAAAAGCCGGAGAGGAGCTAAGAATGGTAGCATCAACACCTTTTTAAAAACCCCGGCCTTTGGAAGTACACATTGCTCAGCGACTCCGAGCCTCACACGGAACAAAACCTACGTGCACTGCCCACAGTAGGGACCGACTGATGAGAACAAGCATCCCTCATCTCTACATTCTACGATGGGAGTCATTGACCTACCATGATCCCGGCCTACAAGTAAGATCAAGTGAGACAACACCTTCTGCATTTCGTTCGGCAGCGGCATGGCCCTACTCCTTTCCGAACTACCAGCCAGGTCCATGCATCGACTGTTGGAATCTGTTTCCATTGCCGGTTCCGTGTACACGTGTGCACTGGTCCGGCATAGTAGAAGTAGCAGTAATAGTAGCAGAAGCAGCAGCAGCAGTGGTGGCAGTGGATGTCACAGATATACGGACAATAATTGGATCAGCCGAAGCCGAACCAAGGCAAAACCTGGTTTTTGAAAACCTTGGCGCTGGACACCCACCTAAAGACCTAAAGCGGGAACATCGGTATTATCATTCGTTTCATCTGAGCAAGACTCCCCAGACTAGACGTCTTGGTGAATTCACAAGAACCCTTGCAACAAGACAAGGGGGACAAGTGGCGGCAAGTTTGGAAAACACTGGCATTGACTCTCACATTTTTGTTGCCTTTCGAAGGGCTCGCACCTCTTTCTCAGAAGTTCTCGACACTTTCGAGTGGCTTGCTCTCTTTCACGAAGGTTCCAATCTCTGTGGAGTGGTGCATGCTCCTTTTTCAGAAATCCCCGCCGAGCAGCTTCCTCTTACTTCACGAATTCTTTTATCCGCTTGAAATCGCCCTTGTCGTGTCTCGTTCGAGCGGTTTGCTGCTGTTGGGTTTTTTCCAACCTTCGGGTCCTTTGCGACTGGCCGCTCCTCTTTCTCAGACAATCCTCGTTGCCAAATTTTCTGGTCTCATTCAAGCGATTTCGTTGTTTTCTAATCCCTTCATTCTCCAGATGTCTTCTTTGTCTTTTTCCCTTTTGAGCGGTTTGTTGCTGTCCCTGGAAGGTCTAACATATCAGCTTCCCCAGTCTTGTTCGAACGGTTTGCTTCGCTTTCTCAAACTATTCTATCACCTTTGATGTCAAGGGCTGTTGTCCTTTCTTCTGCTCCTGTCTTCAAACGTCCAATGCCTTTTCGGCGGATGTCCTTAAACTTTCCTGCTTGTCAAAATCTCTCAAACTCGCTTTTCTCTTTCGAGCGCTTTACTCTTGTTCCCAAAAACAAAAAATATAGCCCCGTTTGATTGTTTTGCTCCTCGTTGTCAATTTTCGGACCCTTTTTCGTCCCCGCGGTTTGTTGCCGGTTTCTTCCGGGCGTCTTTTCCTGCTCCTGAAAGTTGTTTAGGCCCTTTCGACTCGCTTGGAACTCTTCTCAAGCTCTCCTCCTCGTCAAATTCCCTGGTCTCGCTCCTGAGCGATTTGCTCTAACCCCTTTGGACTACTTTGCTTCCGCTGCTTAAATTCTCCGGTTCGTCAATTTCGCCGCTCGCTTTCTCGTTTACTCCTGCTCCTTTCATTTTCTACCCCCTTTCAGCTGTTATTCTCGTCCTTCTCAAACTCTTTCCGGCAATGGCCACGCAGGCAAGTGTGAAAAACCTGCATTGAATGGAGGGTTTGGCCAACCCTGCTGGGAACCGGTGCCGCCCGGAGGGCTGGAAGAGGCCCTTGCTGGTGTGGGGTTCGTGGACACGCGCGTGCCACCGTTGCAACGAACTTGCTTTTCCCCTCCCGGCGGCCCTACAAACACATGTTGATCAGGTACACGCCATGAGCAGGAGTTAAGGTCGACGAACCCTTGGGCACCATTGTTAAAGCAGCGGGTCACAACTGCTGCAACATCTTGCTCGGGCGATCTGCGAGGTGCTGCAGGGCACAGAGACCGGGCGATTCATGTCCGTGGCGGTGGCGGCGGTCAGGCAGCCAGAGCTCGGCCCAGTCCCAAAAAGCGCATTCCAAGTCTCGTCGAGGCAACCATCCTCAAGGGCAGTGCTGATGTCAGGCAGGGGAGGAGGCTCATCACAGGGACAAGTTGTTTACAGGCTCAAGCACGGCGGATCGCTGCAGGCCTTGTTCAGGTTATGGCTGTCGCCTTCTACGACTAAGCCTTCTACGACTACGCCGATGAACATCCTTAGTCTTTGATGGTTCGCTGCTGCGCCCACCGGCGCGAAGATCCACCACCATGTCTTGGGCTCGGGGGTAAGCATCTCCGTCCTGGACGAGCAGCTCCGGATCCACCGCCCGCTGTCTCTTCGATTCCATCGCGACAAAGTTCGCGAGGAGCATCTACGAAAACTCCTCCTCTGCGACTGATGCACGAAAGGCTGGTCATCTCAAAGACTTGCTTGCCGCGCTTCCTAAGCGACTCCTCGAGCCATCCCCAACTATCGGCCAAGATGACTTTTGTTCAGCAGGGCGAGTGGGGATTGCATTGACCTGCTTCCATCGCTCCGGCGTCAGGTATGCCTCCTAGATGCGGACGAAGACCACTGCAGACTGCAGCGGAGCAACTGTAACCGCCGCGGCCTTGTGGCCGGTGTAGAGCAGGGCGGTGTTGCCGCTTGAGTACTGCATGGGCGCAGTCGCCTGCCGAAACCGCAAAGGTTGCCGACACGGCCCGGCACACGTCATGACAACGGCTTGCCGTCCGGCAGCTCGATTTCCTCCGTGGCACCGTGCGGGACTATCGGAACATCCTGGGCCCGCCGTTGCGGCCTGTGGTAGTAGCCGTAGAAGTAGAACCAGAAGTAGCATAGAAGTAAAAGTCTTTTGTTGTGGTAGTAGTAGTAGTAGTAGTAGCAGCAGCAGCAACAGTTGGGTCGACTGGACTCGAAGCTTTGAGGTGGCGGCAGTAGCCCGGCTCCGGAAAGGTAACGCTGCAGCTTCTTGTTGATGCGGTACCTCTACACGTTGTGATGAGTCTCAGGTCAAGGAAGCATTCGTCCCACTCGACAAACTGCAGGGCCTCTAGCACTGTAGGAAACTTAAAGCATGGAGCCTCTCCAACCCTTCGCCCCCAGTTTCACGAACGGCACTCGAATCTCCTCGTGTGCAGCGTGCGCTGAGCTACGCGGGCATGTTCAGCCCAAGCAGCAGAGGCATCTGGTCTGACTGTCCCGCCACTGCGGAAAGGGAAGCATGATGGGCTGACACATACCCATGGGTGATGTTTGGATTTCTTGAGGCTTACGGGAGCTCAGCTGGTGCTGCGGGACAGTCGCTGGATCAGCGGCGCTCACGTGGGGAGCAACAGATTTTCATCGCCCGCCACGGCTCTCGCAGCTGCCACTGCATCACCAAGGGATTTCCTATCTAAACCTATGCCATTCATGAAGGTGCCACAGTCAACTGGAAGCTTGCAGTCGATCTTGAGATCTCAAGCTCTTCCTCGTTCATGTCCGCACTGACCTGTGAGAAGAGCGGCGTTGACAGATATCGTTCACCAGTGTCTGCGACGACCTGGGCTGCCACGCTACTTGCAGTCTCTAGCCTACTGTAGTTGACAACCGTGTGGCCTGTTTTGTCAACTACTCAAAAGGAGCATGCGCTGAAAACACAACAAATGCAAGCGACGGTCAAGACGACAGAGCCTTCAGGTGCATCTTGGGCAACCTGGACAGCAGCTAGCACAGAGGCACCTCCAGAATAGCCTGTAAAAATACCCTGTGTCGTTGCAAGTTTCCTGGACATGTCAGCAGAACCCGAACTGGGTATGGGCACGACTTGGTCGTATCCCGGGCTCAACTCGGCATCTTCCACGATCTTTGGGATGAAATCCGGTGCCCAGCCCTGGATGGGATGAATCTTAAAGGCTGGATGGGATGTGACGGGACTGCCGTCTTCATGCCGCTCCGTGGCCATTCCGGACCGCAGCATGGGAGACTCCATTGGCTCTGCAAGGCATAGCTTCACCGATGGCCGTTGCTCTCGAATGGCCTTGCCCACTCCAGCAAAGGTCCCTCCCGTGCCGTAGCCGGCCACGAAGTAGTCCAATCGCTCACCCTGGAAATCGTGCAGGATTTCGTGGCCTGTGCTCTCGTAATGAAACCTTGCATTGGCCTCGTTCTCGAACTGGTGACACAAAAACCAACCATGTTTTTGCGCAAGCTCTTTCGCTTTCGCGACCATTCCTGTACCTCCCGCAGACTTTGGGGTTGTAACTACTTTGGCCCCTAAGAAGCGCATCATCTTGCGGCGCTCGATCGAGAAGGACTCTGCCAAAACGATAACACAGCGGTATCCACGTTGAGCACACAGCATTGCGAGCGCAATGCCTGTGTTTCCTGACGTGGCTTCAATAAGTGTGGATCCGTGCTTGAGAAGACCCCTCTTCTCTGCATCCTCCACGATCGCACAGGCTGTCCTGTCCTTGACACTGGACAATGGGTTAAAATACTCCAATTTGGCATAGATCGTGCGCCCCTTGGGGCAGATATCATCTGAAATTTTCACGCATGGTGTGTTCCCAACTGCCTCGGAAATATTTGCGTAGACACGACCTCGACCCTTGCCGCTCCACGGCGATGAGGAAAAAGAGAAGCAAGACATCGCCTCCCCGCCTAGATTTTGAACCGAAAGGCACATACATGTGACGGCATGGTCGTCTCTAGCCTGAACTGCGCAAACACAGATAGCGAGGATTCGCTCCAAGGACAAAGTGGCGGGGACCTCATTGCCACCAGGCTCGCTTTTCTTGCCACTGCCACCGGCTGCTTCATATCACGCTGCGATGAATCCAGGAAACCTGTGGCGCGAATTCGAATCCTCTAGTTCGATAGTGCACGTATGCGCCACTAACGGTGGAGGCCCTGCCTTTCTGGACAAGCTCTGCCTGCCCTTCTGCGCTGCGGCTGCACTCTCCCACGCTGCTTATCCAGTAGCCCGCCTGAAGGTTTTTGCTTTGGAGCTCGACGGAAGGTCCAGTAGCAAGTGCCGACTTGAGGATGTTGTTTGCCGGCCTCTTTGTCACCCAGTAAGGAGCCCATCCTCTGAATCTCCTCCATGAGCGCCTCAGCATCCGCAAACATTCCCAGACTGCAGCTTCTCACCTCTTCTAGCTGCGATCCAGGCACCTGTGGCTCTCCTGCCTGCAGCTGCGCAGTCCGTGCCCGGACCCTGCGCAAAGCCTCCAGGACAGCTGAGAGCGCCTCCTTCGCGGCCACCTGCGCAGACGTGGACGTGGCTTTCCGACTCCGACTCTCGCAGTGCTTGGCTCTTGGCTCTCGAAGATTCGAAGCCGGGCCCCTGTGCCTCGGTGAGGAGCCGAGCTGCCTGTTGGAGCCGCTCCTGTGCTCCGCAAGTCTCCGCAAGTCTCCGCAATTCACAAAGAGAGCGCTCTCTGAGTTCCCTTTTCAGTGCCGTGGATGTGGCCTCGGCGGTGCTGAGCAGGCCGATGGACTCCAGCGCCAGCGCGCTGAGGAAGCCAAGGCGCCAGTGCCGTGCACTGAGGCGGAGGCCGTGCTCGCAGGCGACCTGGCAGGGCAGGGCGACAGCCGTGAACCATCGTGAACCCTCAAGATCGCGCAAGCGGCTGCCACCCTCCCAGGACCCGGCCACTGCGTCTAAAGGAGCCCCGAGCTCAAGGCGCAGGCGGCCAGCCTGAGCAGGAAGAGCCTACTTCCTGGTACTTTTTGGAGCTTCAGAACGACTGTTGGCAGCGTTGCCTCAGCCCAAGCCTCCGCTGCAAGGGCTTCCCGGCCACAGATCCGAGACCTTACATGGGCATTGCAATATGCAATGATATGCGACATTCAAAACTTCGTGCCGAGTTGCCAGAGCTGGGCTGCTTCTTCGAAGCGCCGCTGAGCTTGCAACGGCTCCTGTCGCTGCTCCGCTCGCTGGGCTTCCTCTCAGACTTGGCGAGCCATGCATCTGCCATCGTTGGCCACTCAAGGAAAGAAATATGTGGGGAATGCACTGACGGGCCTCCAAACAGGCTTGGGCGCGCAAGGCTGCTGAGGCTCCTGGCACACGGCGGCCATGGGGCCACCTGAGAATCTGCTTACAGCACCACAAATAACAACAAGCCGTGCTCAGCATCCGCATAGTTACATGCGACAACCTCGAAGGAGTTTCATCAGCGCCCTTGCCTGCTGCGGCAGCCCCCCACAACTGCTTTTACAGGCTGTGCAGAGCAGCAGCCAGATGCAGCAGCCATGGCGTCACGAGCCACCTGCCCCTGAACTTGAAGATACGGGCTCTAGAGCCTAGAGAGACAGGTGCTCAATATCTCCTGCACCTCACGTTAGACCACCTCATGTGATCGCCTTGCTCGAGGGTTGCGAGGATGTCTTGGGCTTTTGCATGCGTGAAGAAATGGCCTGGCCACGCTTGCCTAGTAGCTGCTACCAAGTAGCTGACATGTTGCTGTCACCAATTTTGGTTGGCATTTTGCCAACTGCCAGAGATGGGCACATCATGGAACAGTAACGAGAGACTTTCTGCCGCCCAACTACTGCTACTGTAACCTCCTCCGTCCCAGGTAAGCGCCCGTCTGATTGCGCTGGTTCTGCTTGCCATTTGCCGCCCGTGTGTGACGGATAAACTTGACAAGCTCATTTGCATCCAGACCTTGCCAGTCCGAGCGGTCACTGCAGCACAAGGAAAATAAGGAAAGCACATGGAGACAAGGCCCTTCAAGAAGAGGAGCCATCTCCGTTGTCATCCATACTCTTGTAGAAGGCTTTCATTTCCTCAGGGGACTCTCAACTCCCCTGCAATAAGAATGCGTGATAGGCAGTTCAGCCTTCCTGGCCGACAAGCGTCTGACTCAAAAACATCCCACCTGCTGAGCTTCCTGGGCACCAGAAGGGCTCATACATGTGGAGCAGGTACAGCCACCAGACAAAATGTTCAGACAGGCTGGCCCACGGCACAGGGCCAGGCAAACAGGAAAGCTTAGAACCTTTGTCAGAGCCCGAACTTTGCAGCGAAAGACACAAGTCTTCCCGCACGAAGCCCATCAGCTCGTGCATTGAGATGCGGCCTGGATTTTTGTTTGATAGACGGCGGTTTCACACTGAGCAAGCTCAGCCCAACTAGCCAACAGTCGAGTCGAGTGACCGTCACCGCCTCTGTCGATGCGATCGAAAAGCTTTCGCACTGCCTGGACAGGCAACAAGAATATACTATGGATGCTTTTTGGTGATGCCTGCATGACCGATTGTCAAAGGAGGTTTTGTTGATGTTTGTCGCATACGGCCGCGTGGCTACGGACATTAGCACTGTAGACGCGTGTTGACTCGGCTTCGTTTGTCTGTTTTTGGAACGGCATGGCTTGGCGTTGCTTGGCTGTATGAGCAGGACCTTCCGCCAACGCAACACCAAAACGAACGGACGCAGCAGTACTCCCGGCTCACGAACAGGACGGCCCGGTGTCTGACAGTACAATTGCCGAAAACATGGCTACATGATGAAAGCCAACCGAGGAGCTGCATCATCTGTCCTTAGAAGCTTTGCTTCTCCGGATGCTTTTTGCCCACTCTGCGGGCTTTATGACCAAGGCACCTATAGTTTCGGAATCCCAAGCGAAGGTTCCCTTGGCTGTGGGGGCCGGAGTGCCAGCTGCAAGCAGGTCAGCCGATACTTAAGTCCACTGAGGAGATCCGCATCGTCACTCAGCAGAGCGGCGGTGTACTCTTTTTACCCGAACTGCAAAGAGCTTGGCCTCCTCCTCTGGGTTCAAGGGTCCACGTGAGACAAACCTGGGCAGCGACAAGAGTTCCATGCTCTGGGCCCAAGGCCCACGAACGGGCTTCGTCGTGCTGCCGTATGCTGCCGTGATGCCGGGAAAACTCGGGGCCGGAAATGGCCCCAGTCCTCGGCCGACGCCAATTGTGCGACATGCCATGGGTACCATTTTGTCGATCCGAGGTGCTTGTCAATGTCAATTTCGCAGAAGACGACCTGGATCTCATGGTCCGGAAGCCTCAGTCTTTCCCGGCTTCGGCACAGAAGCAGCTTCAGCCACACACTGGCGCAATTCTGCCACGGAGCGTGGTGTCGGGAATACGTAGCTTTTCACGGAGAACCTGTCACAGGTTTCACTGGGACGCTCGAGCTTCGATGCATCAGCTTAACGTCTTAAAGAGTCACGAACAAGGACTTGAAAAACTTACATGCTGCTACGATGCCGCGAGGTTTCTGCGCTCACGCAATCTGCATCGCATCTGGCTGGGCTCAAGCCCAGACGTGCTACAAGCCTATGGGGGCCGGTTATCAAGCTCTCCACAAACACACACGTCGAAGTGCTCCAGATCTTCCACTTCGACTCATGCAGAAAGCACTTGCTTAGACTCGTGGGTCCTGCTGCCAACTGCTACAAGACGTTTCCTTGCGGCGCAGGCAGAGCCCCTCGCGAATCTCCATGGCCGGGAGTAGGGCTGCCTTCTATCATGGCCTAACCTCAACTCGTCGTAGATGCGCCCTCGCTCGTGGTGCATGCAGGCTGGACACTTTCAGGTGAGGAGTGTATTCATTCTGATTCGCTCGTCGTCGTGGAGCACATTGAATGGCGACTGCACGTCGCACGCCTTGATCTCCTGACGAGTTTAGGGTATCCCCCTGGTCTGCTGTGAAGATAGAAAAAGCAGTGGAACATGTCGCCTCCTTCCGAGCGATCTTGCCGATCAAAGTCGCTGCAATCACCTTCTCCCGCCTCGCAGACAGCAAAAAGGCAGCTGCCGATCCAAGCTGGAGCCACCCAAAGACAAACCGCATAGTACACACATGCCGAGACTCGGGTTGAACTGATGCAGATTCCCCTCCGTCACGACAGTCTCGAAGACACCGCGTGCTGCCGAATTGACAAATCTGTTGTAGTCCTGGCTGTGCGTGTGCATGCGGTGCCCCAGACTACTTCCCCAACCTGTGTCGTGGTCCTCACTGGACCTTTTTTGGGGTCTCCAAGCCTTGGATTTGATTTGGCCTCTAAAGCAGCACCTGCCCACTTGCTTGTGGGTTGCCTGCGTCACACTCTCATGAATCTTCTAGGTCGTTCAAGCAGTTAATCAGGCTTGGTAGATTCCAAAAAAAACGGCTAATTCGTTGAGACAGCATGTTGGCCAAATACAAGGTGAATGAATTATCATAGGGCGGGCGAAGAGTTACGGTCGGCGGAGAGATCGGTAACCAGAACCTCAGAATCAGTAACAAGAACGGATGAATCAGAAACCAGCCATGATGCACAAACCTGACGGCTGAATCGGAAACCAAACGGCTGATTCGGAAACCACATTGGACCATGGACGCCAGTAGCCCCCCCCCCCCGAGGCCCCTGCGCTAGTTTCCAACCTCCAGTTTCTGAGACACGCCTCCAGTTTATGATGCGCGCTGGTTTCTGATGCGCAGTTTCTGATGCGCGGATGGTTTCCGATGCGCAGCTTCTGATGGGCAGTTTCTGATTCAAGGCCCAGTTTCTGATTTTGCAATGGTTCCGCAGAGTTAGCAACCGTCTTAGCTTTGCACGCGCAGAGAGTCGGGGAGGAGATTGTCGCCATCCCCGCTTGCAAGATAAGATGAACTCATGGCAGGCCCTTTGAAAGGATGGCTGGTAGAGTCCGGCCGCCTCAACTTGCCATTCAAGTCTGCCACGAGTGTCGTGGCACAGGTCGAGTCATTTCAATCGTGGTATGAGCGAACATTACGATCCAGTGGGCGTGACGCTGATGCTCCGTTATTTTTTGCTTCTGGGACACCTGATGCCAGGTAGATTGTTAGAGGCTGCACAGCAGTTACAGCACTGCTGCGCTTGCGCTAGCACGAGGTGGCTAATTCGCAAAAGGTTTGATTGCCCGGCATGAAGTGATGTCTCATGTCAATGCCGCCGTCATGCCAACATCTCTTGGGACACGGAACTGAAAGTCCTGGATCCGCGAATGACGACCGCAGGCATGGAAGCAGCAGGGGTCGGATTCGCGAAGCATTTGCACACCTGGCGCCGGGAGATGCATTCAAGTTTTAAGTCGCGTTCTCTATGGCAGTGCTGCTGAGGTGAGTGTTTGTCTTCTGAAGCCGAAAGGCTGGCTCGATCCTTCTCCAGGGCCGCTAGGACGTACAAGGCCGTGTAGTTTCCTCAGACGTTCGTGTGTACGAGCATGCTGTTCGCAGCTTGAAAACCGCCTCTTGATCCACGCCGGCACATAGATTGCCGGACCATTTGGGAAAGCCGAGCTGCCTATCTGCGCCCACCGATCGGAACAGAACTGCTCGAAGTCCCAACTGGTGTGCCTCAGAATATTGGCTTCTCTTGGGTCAGCACCAACATGATCCGCTATGGTGTGTCAGTCCGGCTGCCGGAAATCACATGGAAGGCTGCCAGCAATCGGAATCGAGAGCACCTTGATTGCGGCAACTGAATGTTATGTCAATCAATGCAAAGGAATAGTACATCTCATATGTGCATTTTGTAGAATGGTGAGTCAAGGCTCTATTCTGGGATCCACGGCTGCCGCCAGTGTTGTGGTCCAACCACCTCCACTCAAACCCATCATGATGATCCTCTCCTGGCAGCACTGTCGCTTTTGCTTCTGCTCATGAATGCCACTCACTTCCGATTCCAACTCAGTGCTGCAAACCCATGCGGGCAGATTCCAAAGCATCGACGAGCTCTGGCTCCTAACCCGTAATCCAGCTGAAGAGCATATGCCAACGAATCAATGGCAAAATTGATTGTGTTGATTACCTAAGCAGCGGAGCTCTGGGCAAAGGCTGAATAGAAATCGAGCGGCCAAGGAACTGGCTCAAGAAAGTACTGCACCCAAGGCTTTCCTTCATCCTCGAAGGGTTGGAACCAAGCCTCAGATGCAGGAGAGCCCATAGCCACAGCTCCCGCAGAACTCGAGTTGGCAGCATTGGCATACACGAAAAGGCATGCCATGGCGGGGATTTGCGTCAAAGCCACATGCAGACTGCGAGGATCATGGGGGTCGGAGTTGCAGTCCTTGAAGGGCATCCTGAAATGCATGGATTGATCCGCTGCTTCAGGCAGGGATCCAGTAATCGTAGCAAGAAGAACGATGCTCAACAAAGTAGGCGAATGATGTTGCATGAATTCCGTTGACTCGCAGGGCTACAGTCTGGCTCGTGTGCCAACGCCGGAAAATTGAAATTGCAATTCCCTGACAAGTTCCAGGTGCTGCTTCTAGAGTCACACAAGAAGACTCATGTCTTGGAGCACCCAAGTTATCTTTGATGGTGTCACTACATCACACAGTAGCTAAATGAACTGCGAAACTGGATTCAATCCCTCCACACAAGACTCGAAGTGCGAAATGCAAGGAGCCTTCGCGAAGAAGGTTTCCGCCACTTGAAAAGGGAGAAAGTTTCAAGCTGGAATCGAAGCTTTCGGGAGATTGGTTTCTGACCACTTTTCCGAGAAACTGCGTCACATCCGACAGCAAGCTGAGGCGTACTGAAGCGCTGGCAGGAAACATTACTGTAGCCACATCAAACCCCATCTGGTTGAGCCAGTCCGCGCTCCCATCCGTGTCTCCTGCCATCAGAAAACACCGAACATGCCTGCATGCAAAGAGCGTAACGATAACAGATAACACATGTTATTTTTCTTTGTGGGGGACGGTCTCCGTATGTCGGGCAGCCCTTCGACATTCCATGGCCGTTGTGGAAGAGCACCAAAGTCTTTCCCTTACGAGGAAGCCTCGGCTTTGCTCCACTCCAAAAACGCATCACGGCAGTCTCGAAATCACGTGTGTGCACTTGGGGGGCGTAGGCTTTCGAAGTTCAAGGCTTCGTCCATCAGTTTCTCCATGGTATCCAAAGTTGAAGACTTGAAGAGCTCGCTCAATGCCTGTAGCTGTGACTGTTCTCGGTATCCTCCTCAGTCGTTGGTTCCTGGGTTGGCTCCTGGACGTTGTTGGCGACAACGCACTCAGACTTCGACTTTCGGACGGTGCAGTGGTTGCGAGTCTCAATCCACTTGGCATGGAGTGGGCGATTCAATGAGAAGCACACGATGCACGCCTCAACGTTAAATAGGCGAAACATGCTCTCTGCTCTCAAATCCGGTTCTGCACATTCGATGCCCGCTGTGGCCCACCTTCCAAACGAGATTACCATCTGATACCATCTGCACCGACTAACTTCATCAAGTGCACGCTCGTGAAACATGCCCACCCGGGGCTTTCTGCTTTCACCAGCTTACGCAGATACAACCAAGCAAAGGCCTCGCTCCAACGTTAACCTCTCTAGGCCCTGTCTCTTAGTGAACTTCTTGTCATCGTTCAAAGTCTTCGGAGCGGCTCCCAGATGATGAATGGGTTCTCTCGCACAAGAACTGCATCACAACGACTTCCACGTGGAAGGAGTGCACTTTCAAAATTAGTTCGCAGAGAGTTCCTTCCACGTGGGGTTCCTAAGTTCCTACGTGGGCTTACTGTGATAACCATGCCTTCAAGTTTGTTTGTGCTGGTCTGAGACACCCTCTGGGAAGCAGTTGCCACCTTGGCCAAAGCGGCTCCATGTGAATCCCAGCACCTGGCTCTTTCCATCTCCTGGATGTTCTGCTGTAGGTTGCTGCAGAGCTCCTGTGCCGAAAGGCTTTGAATAAGTCTGCCGACGCTCGGGACAAGCTCAGCAAACGCATGCTGTGAACAAAAGAAGAGAATCACGTGATTCTCTTCTTGTGTTCACAGCATGCGTCGGCAGACTTGTTCAAAGCCTTTTCACGCAGGAGCTCTGCATCATCCTGTGCTGTCAGGCAGCCATCCTGCCCCCCAAGCCACTCTACAGTACGCACATGGTATGATTAGGAGAAAAGCTGCAGGTGGTATCAGCTGCAGAAGGTCGCCCTTTCCATGACATCATGTTGGTTCTCTGGCCAGGGGGCTGTGGATCTGCTGGCTGGCCTGCGCCTTCGGAGCATGAGCACATGAAACCAACACCGCCGAACCTGACCGAACTCTATGAAGCCGGGGCACCCCAGATGTCGTAGTTGGGCGCATACCCCGAAGTGCTCAGTGTCAAGAAAACCTTCGAAGTCAATGTCATTGAGTAATTCGCCTTTGAGCAGGAGGGCACGAAGCAGCCCGACATGCTCCATCATCGCAGTCGACATCGCACATGACAGCTTCGCCGGTTCAACACAACCAGAGTCTAGGTGAAAGCCGAGATGCTTTTAGCCTGGCAGGCATAGCCCACCGAATTTCGGTGACATTGATGACTTTCTCACAGTCACTTCTGTTTCCGCTCCCCCACGCAGCATACAAACAGTCCTCAGGCGAGGGCTTTACAGCTTTCCAAAACATCGGCTCATAATCGTGCATGCAGGCCATAGTTCACTTCGAGGGGCGGGAAACAAATGCCGCACTGCCTTCGTTGTGACACTGTCCGGCCTGAAACAACAACTATCAAGATCACCGTTTACCTATCTGTGTATGTAGTCATTTAGCAACGACATGCTATTGTACTCTGACACAACTCTGGCCTGGACTTGCGAGGGAGCATCTCCTGTCCAAAGATCCTTGTAAGCAGCGACATCGGAGACAGTCGGAGCCCTGTGCCATCCTACACTACCTTCGCTGGTACGATGCAGTCGGAGCTCTCTCGGATCAGACGCTGGCGGATCTGCATCCAGTCCGGGCTTCTGGGCAACAGGCCATAGCCTCGCATCGCTTCAAAGGGCCTCTTCTGCAGCGCCGTTGCCAAGCTCCCTCTCTCCGCCTTCGCCGCTGCAACCGGAGACGTTGGTGCCCTGAGGCGAGCAGAAATCATCCGACCAGCCAGGGTCCCTGCAGACGAACTGGGCACCTGACACGCAAACGAAACGGGGCATGCGGATGAAAAGAAGCCAGTCTAGAAAAGCGTTGGAACAACTGTTGATTTTAACTCAGCTGCTGCAAATAGCAAAGGGCAAGAGCACGAGAAACCTGAGGCGGGTCGGATGCAGACACTTCTCTAAACCGAGCATGTGGATGCACCAGTAGCTGCATCCGTCAGGGCCCAAGCCTCGTCATGCAAATTCGGAAGATCTGCTATTTACGACTGTGTCTCATCTTGAGCCAGACTTTGGCGACGCACCGTGCAACAGCTAATACACTTCTCTCGCAACTACCCACTTCAAGCAAGCAATGCAATGCGAGGCCAAGAGTGCCACTCTGACTGTGCCTGCAGCCCTGCCGACCCCCCCTCACAAAAGAAGGAACAAAGGTGTGTTTGTAAATCCTCGAAGGCTGGGAGCACTCCTCACATTGTGGGGGACTTGGCAGACCTGCCTACCACATGGGGGGGTCTAACTCTGATAGCTTTCATGGAAATGCCGGCAACTCCATGCATGCTTGCTTTCATGTCGAATGATGACAATGAAATGGACACGTGGATCCAAATCGGCTCAGCTTGGGAGTTGGACTGGAGTATGGACAAGGTCGCGCGTCTGGCTTTTAAATTGCCTCGTAAGGCAGTTTCGGATTGCAACAAGAACACGAGTGCCAGAGTGACTCAGGATTGGCTGGATTTGGAACCCAGTCAAAAATCACGCACAAACTCGCTCCCGCCAACCGGGCTCCGCGGATCATGTGGAATCGGTCCGCATCATCAGCTTTGCACACCCTTGTCCGCTTGTTCTGAAGAACGGCTCTGTGATTAAAGACTGGCCACATGATGACATCCTTTGGCAGTGTCGCCTGCGTCAGCTCCTTAAGATCCAGAGTCTTCGATCTGTCCTGCCGTAGCCGCAAGCAGGGACATGCGGGACTCAGTCCGACCCAACATCTGCACAAGTGTACCAATCGTGGCCATGACAGTCCTTGTCTGCTGCGTGGAACAATTCATCCCAGGATTCCTGCGAGAGGTAGAACTAGGCTTCATTCGGGCTCGTGCTGTACGTCCGTGACGCAGGGAGTCCACCCATGCAAAACCCTGAAGCCGAAACCCTAAAATAGTCCCTTTGGCAAGACCCATCAGCCAGAGAGTGGGTGTTGGTGTGCAGTGGGAGTGGAGTGCAGTGGAGTGGGTGGGAGTGGAATGGAATGAACTTGGTTTTCGACTACAGGCTCGCCCGAAGTCCCGTGTTCGCGGATTTTATTGTACAGGCAATCAATCGCAGGTCTTCCGGGTTCTGACACTGTGAGATCATCGCTTTATGAGGACAGGTGCTTCCGATTGCTTCAAACTGAAAAGCCTCGATGGTACGAAGAACAGAGGTCGCCCTAGGCACTTCCCGACTTCCGATGTGCATAAGGCTGTACATGCTGCTGGCAAGTAACAAGACAAGTTTGATGCTTCTGCGGTCGGCTGCGCCAAGCATGTGGTGACCCAGGTTGCTCGTTTTGTTTAGGAGCTGGTTGCACTATCCAAGCCCGTTCGTATTTGTACACGAGGCTTTGACATCATCAAGGCCTTGCACGTCAGTCTCCAAGAGTGTGCTGGATGCTGCAAGCACTCCGTTACCACTTAAGCAACAGATGCACAGAACATGTTGCAATGTGGACCTGCAAATCTCATCGACTACACACTCAGACTCATCGTAAGGGCAGTCTCACTGGGGAGATCCAATATCCCGGCACACACATCGGCAGGTCCTTGGACTGCCTCATTTTGGCCTTGCAGCAGGTTTCTGACATGACACCGAGGCAAGAAAGTCCTGTTCCATACCGCTTCCCGGAACACCTTCCGGACAAGCTGACAATGTGACAAGTGGCACCAACGAGGACACGCCGTGCCCGATGATAAATATCTGCACTCGTCTCCATCGCCATCTTGGCACAAGTCTCGCCAGATCTGGCAGCTTCGCAACCAGCCACAGTTCTATAAACCCCTCTCCTTTGATACCGACAACAGCACAGAAGCAAGTAAGAATCGTCTGGGTAGGAAATACTGGTGAAACACTTATCGTCTTGCCCTTGCGTGCGACTAGCCTCAGCTCCTGCTTGAGCCAGCAGAAGGCAGGATGCATAGGTGAGGAGTGCTGAGGCTGCTGAGGCCTTCGGAGTGCTGGCCCCTTTGTTGCGCCCTTTTGAGCGCCTCCGCGCTCGTGATCTCCACCAGCAGCCCCCTTCTGCGGCGGCCATATGCGGTCATGAGGGATCAGAAGCCAAAGCCTCGGTTGCAACGTTTCAAGGAGACCGCGATGGCTCCAGGATGTGGCAGATTCTCACAACTCGTTATGTCAGTTATGTATCATCTGAGGCACCGAATCATCCGTCCTCACTGGCAGGGAAGGTCTCTCTCTCTCTCTCACCCGCATGTCTGCTCATGTGACAGGACTCTCCTTGTTGCGGCAGTCTGCTTGGCCACCTTTGCAGCACGAGCCATTCTGGCCGCCTGAGGTTTGTTGGGATGCCAACAATGATGCCTTCGACTCATCCCCTTCTCAGTGGTGCACGGCTTCCTCCGCAGCATCCAAACCCTGCAAGGCGGCTCGAGCGGCCTCGGCACCACCTGCAGACCGAGCTCGGGTCCGATGAAGCCTTTTTGTTACGACAGGTCCGCCTTTGGGCAATCCCAGCGATCCGAGGCCCAGGATCTCCAAAAAGTCTGCCTTGGTTTTTGGGAAGGTCTTCTGGCGGCTTGCCGTGGGATGGAGGTACCACGAAATTGCTGGGGCTCCATAGGTCACTTGCCTGCCTTCCTTGTCAAGAAACAATGCCCGCGGCTGCCTCTGCAAGAAGCTGGTCTCGGTCGTAAAGATCACGGCTGGTCTCATGGACCTCGCGAAGTGCACTTCACATTCTTCTTGCAGCCATGGTTTCGTGCCTTCAGCTGCACCCTGGCCAGAACAAACCGCTTGCCTTCTCTTTCCAGCCGTCGATCGATCTGAACACCAACTCCACGTTATCCACTCCCGCCGCGCTGGCCTAAACGAAAACAACATCACCAAAGCAGGAGTACCTCACATACACACTATGTAGCCTGTCAAGACAGAAGTTGCCCAGCAAGTGATGAGACGACGATGAGCAATGACACAATGATTCGCGGACTATGATGCCTCGTGCTCTATCGAGCTCTTTCAATGTAACTGGAGGCAAGGCTCTATGTCGCCCAACTTGCCCTTGCACTCCTGAAGCTGTGCCTCCAATGATCGAACCTGTGCTTGACGTCATAATGCGAGCATTCGGGCAATGCCGTTTCACGCCTTGGATATCAAGTCTCGAGCGACGTCAGAAGAATCAACATCTGGAACTCCAAGGCAAGATGCCTCGGTCTGTCAGCAGAATTCAAGAAAATCAGCGGGCGTCCTCTGCGACTGCTCCCTACTTTCAAAAGGTGCTCTTTCCTTTAGGCCGTGAACCAACTCGGCGAGCCTGCCGTTGGACTGCTGCAGCTGTCCCTGAACGTGCAAAAGCTCCTTCTCCAATCGCTCGGCCTGCTTGAATACACGCGCGGAAGTCTTTGCGAATGTTCGCTCCCCCGCCTCCTGCGTTACGACCTCTGCCGTACGCTCCAGTTCGGAACGCATCAAGTTATGTCGCGCAGTGGTCGCCAGCTCATTCCGCAGCCGGAGCACTTCATCCTCACAGCTGGACGGTGACGGGCAAACACTGACTTGCCGGGCGGAGATCCCTCATGCCTGCGGCTGCCACTGCGGTCCCTTTTCTGCTCCGTCAAAGCTCCATCTGCTTCTTTGCATCTGCACGCCGTCGCTTTCACTTCTACTTCACAAAGGTCTGTGGGCGCTTCGCCTTGAAGGTGGTGCGCAACTTCTTGGCAGCATGAGGGATCTTTCTGATGACTGGGAACTTTAGCTTCTTATCATGCATCTCCAGGACGTGCTCGCGGCGGCACTTCTCGTCAGGGATGGTGGTCGCGTGGATGATCTGGATAGAACCGGGGTCTGCGCGGTGGCGACCGGCCATCTCCTGGTAGAGCTGCCCAACAGCGCCGTTGATGTTCACATTGCGGAACTCCTTGTACATGTTGTGAGTGTTGGTACGGCTGTCATACCGCAACCAGATGCCATAGTTCTTCACCTTGGTAGGGGAGGTGTCGTGCAGCTCATTCACGGACAGCAACTCGCCACCACTCTTCTTCGCCTTGTTGAGCCTCTTCATGAAATACCAAAAGCGGGATTTGGCCAGCACCACATTCCGGGCAAAAATCCTCATGCGGTAGATCTTCGGAGTCGGGTTCTTCGGTGTTGGTGCTGCACGGCCCACGATCTGGTACTGGTGCATATTGGCCTCCAAGGACTTGTCGATGGCGAATCCCTTTCCCATGGCTGGGGCACGTACACGGAAGCAAGGCGGGAAGCGGGAGGATGACGGGTGATCACCTGAAGCCACATGCCGCACGCGGGCTCGTGCAACTCAGAAGGACAGCCATCTCCTGCAAATCTTCTGCGAGAATCTGTTCAAACAACCTTCGTAAAGCTTCTCACCCCGAACCTGTCGTGATGATGCTAGTCAGAAACTTGGAAACGTGCTCCTCTGCTTCCAAGCGCCGCTGTTCCCTTCTTTCGCACAGGTCCTGCCATCGCCTCACAAGTCATTGCATGAGTCGTACGCCTTGCCACGAGTTCTGCTCACAAGCATCCTGTTTCTGTGTGTTCCCCTGGCTGGCTCCTGCGCTCTGCCCGAACCGCTGTGATCTGCGTCTGAAGGTCCGCAATAATGGTATCCTGCCGGCAGAGCGCTTGCCTCGCAGGCATGCGTCAAGAGAACAAGTAAGGTCGGTCTGTGCATATTGGTACGAGTATCACGTGCCGGTGAACGAAGGCACACATGCCAGGATGAACAGCTTGCTTGCCGAAGAGGCACTTCATCTGCGCCAAATCAGCTTGCAACAAGCTCTCAGGTGGTAGCTCCAAAGCTGTGGGGCTGCACGGTGGTGAAGCTGCCTGGCCTGATGCCAACAACCCGTACGCTTCTCAAAAACACACACCCGACCGCTCAAAACTTCCCTTAGCCCGGCACGCACCGTCACCAGTTGCGCCTGGCCGCAGAGTAGTCTATGTCCTGGAGTGACTGTTGAACCTAAACCCTGCCTACGTTCGACAAAATCGCAAGAAACCTTATGCGAACAGCAGCGAACATAAGTGTTTTTCAAGTTTGAACCGTTCACATCCTGGGCTGCGATCACCTACTCTTGGCACACTAGCCGGCTCTACACTCCGAAACCAGCGCACGGAATTCACAAGCGGCCTGTAAGTCGGCGATCTTCACCAGACTCTCCGCCAAAGCGGCCCGTGCCTGGCGAGCTGATGCTTTTTCACGGACGAATCACAAACATGCCTGCAAATCTTCGTGCCGGGTCGGGCCCTATAACAGCCGGGCTGGTCACATCAAGAATTCGCAGGTCGGGCGGAAGTTTTTGTTTGAGCAAGGGGCTGCAGTGCATATATGTCTCATTTGTTCATCCTGCCAGCTTCAAGGTATTCTTGAAGACATACATGAAGGCATAAACCTGCGGTGTCCAAAGCTACTCATTTGATGACTGGTGCTTCTGCTGGCGATGCCTCTTGCTGATAATAATCTTCACTCATTTGTGCTCCGTCCACACTCTCCCTCTCTCTTTCTTTCGCCAGGGCTATAGTGAAGGGGTTTGACCCCCCTCACCGCGCTCATCAGCGCCCCCGACTGTTGTGGGGCGAAAACTTCTTGTAGCGCTCCCCATCAAAGCCGGCACTCCCAGTGTACCGAATGCCGAAACATTGACAACTGCGAGCATAATTGATATGACATGCTGAGCACCGTTCGTGGGGTTGTTGCCCGGTGGCATGTTGAAGGCGTGCTGTGCTTCAAGGCTACACGAGTCATCAGTAGCACAATTTGCCTGTAGGTTCAGAGCCTTGTGACTGCGTGAAATCATGCGAACCAAAACACTGCCTGACATTCTCTCCCTCTCTCTCTCTCTCTCGCGAGTGGCCCAGGCATTCGTTTAGGCCCTGGATTTGACGCAACGCGCTTCGTGGTAGTCACACTGGTGGGGATACTTCTGTTGGGTTCGTGGCGTGCGTTGTGAGTGACCTCGGTACCGAGCTGCGTGGCGGAATGTGCTCGGGAGCGGCTCAGCAAGTTGCATGCAAGTGTGCGTATGGCTTATGCATAGCGGAAGGGTCTTCATCAGGATCGCTCCTTCTCCAACTCGAGCCCATCCCGAGCCGGCTTCGTGGGAAGGTTCCTTACTAGGATGCAGGAGTGTTTGCCATGCTGGCAGCATCCCCGTGTAGCTTTTGCCACAGCGTCCCGCTGTACTCCGCTTTGATGCGGGCAAGCTCCTTCATGCAGCTTGATTGAACTCAGAGCCCGCATGGGCCTACTCGATGATCATCCCTTCATCACGCAAGCAGCTCCTGTTGCAACGTTTGTTCCGCTATCCGAACCCGATGCAGCTCGACAAGTGAACCTTCCAGCTTCTCAGCTTGGTTCTTGGCCTGCAGCGACAGGCACTCCAAGGAGGACGCACGAAAACCAAGCTTGTGCGGCCTGAGCCCTGGTCTTCTCCAACTCATCCTGCAATCTGGTTACCTGTGCAGCATTTCCCTCTCAAGACTTCCGGGGGCGACTCCTTCAACCAGTCACATCAACAAGCCTCCGTCTTGCATGATTTCAGCTCGGCTGCGAGGCCAGCAGCATGGGCCTACGTTCACGAAGAATTGCTGGTTGTCTTCAGCTGCTCCGGCTGGAATGGCCTGGATTTCAATGTCCCTTGCCGACGCATCACGGTGCTTCATCACCTTGTGGTGTCTTTCCTTGGGTGCAACTGGTCCACAGAGCACTAGTTCCGAATGCAGATGTCAACAGCAGCGACGGCAAAACAA